GTCGGCTAGGCGTCATCTTGGCTCGTCGCCTAGGCATAATTTTACCTTGTCGCCTAGGCATCCTCTTGCCTTGTCGCCTAGCCGTGAACTCGGCTCGGCAGCTAGGCATCCTCTTGCATTATCGCCTAGCCATCATCTCGGCTCGTCGGCTAGGCGTCATCTTGGCTCGTCGCCTAGGCATCATCTTACCTCTTCGGCTAGGTGTCGTATCATCGTCTAGCGATCATCGGCTCGTCGCTTAGGCATCATCTTACCTCGTCGCCTAGGCATCCTCTTGCCTTGTCGCCTAGCCGTTAACTCGACTCGGCAGCTAGGCATCCTCTTGCATTGTCGCCTAGCCATCATCTCGGCTCGTCGGCTAGGCGTCATCTTGGCTCGTCGCCTAGGCATCATCTTACCTCTTCGGCTAGGTGTCATCTTGTATCATCGTCTAGCGATCATCGGCTCGTCGCCTAGGCATCATCTTACCTCGTCGCCTAGGCATCCTCTTGCCTTGTCGCCTAGCCGTTAACTCGGCTCGCAGCTAGGCATTCTCTTGAATTGTCGCCTAGCCATCATCTCTGCTCGTCGGCTAGGCGTCATCTTGCCTCGTCACCTAGGCATCATCTTATCTCGTCGTCTAGGCATCCTCTTGCCTTGTCGCCTAGCCGTTAACTCGGCTCGGCAGCTAGGCATCCTCTTGCATTGTCGCCTAGCCATCATCTCGGCTCGTCGGCTAGGTGTCATCTTGCCTCGTCGCCTAGGCATCCTCTGCCTTGTCTCCTAGCCATCGTCTCGGCTCATCTTCTAGGCACTGTCTTGCCTTGTCGTCTATGCATCTTTTGACCTTGTCGGTTTGGCATCTCCTGACTTAATCCAGTAACAAGCCATTTCTAGATCACGTGCGTCGGTGTAACACTCTCCCCCGACACTATCTAACACGCCTCGGCATTGTATTTTCTGGAAAAGCTTTAGTATCAGTCTTTCTGCGCAACGTAGCACTATGGGCGTCTTGTCATTAAGAACGGCACAGTTTTTGCAAAACGCCTCGTCATTTATTCGGCTCGTCATAGTTTTCGCAAAACGCCTCGTCGTTTATTCGGCTCGTCACAGTTTTCCCAAAATGCCTTGTCGCTTATTTGGCTCATCACAGTTTTCGCAAAACGCCTTGTCGCTTATTCGGCTCGGCACAGTTTTCGCAAAACACTTCGTCGTTTATTCGGCTCAACACAATGTTCACAAAACGCCTCGTCGTTTATTCGGCTTGACACAGTTTTCACAAAAATGCCTCGTCATTTTAAAAGAAACTCCGGGAAAAAAAGTTCGCCCTATCCTCGTTATCAAATTGCCTCGCGTACACTCTTTCCCAAGGATATCTCATCAAGCAGCACAGACTGCGCCACGCCTCGCCTTTAACAAAACAGCTCGGCATTATCTTTTAACTTGAAACACCTCGTCGCTAAACATAGCTCGGCACTACGTAAACACCACATCGTAGAAAACAGCTCGGCGCTATCTTTGTCAAAGTAACTTCATCTTTTGAACGGCTCAGCGATTTTTTCAAACAGCCTCGCCGAAAAATGGCTCGCTATTATGCTTCGTCGATGAATGGCTCGG